TGCTGTAGCTATGATGACGAAGTTTCCGCTGTATACAAATCAAGAGACATACCATAAATAGTTATTTATTGACTTTGTCTCTATATAATACTTTCTTTTATGGTCAACCGTTTTCGGGCTGAACAGTTCATTGAACATATGTTCAGACTTATGCAAATACATGTACACATTTTCAACTTATATGTGCTAAGCTTAGCAGTTATTAATTGAGCAGCTCTTAAATTAACTGAACTTTATCTTTTACTTTAATTGCAGTTCTGGGAAATCATATCCGATGAGCATGGCATTGATGCGACCGGCGCCTACCATGGCGACAGCGACCTGCAATTGGAGCGCATCAATGTCTACTACAACGAGGCGTCTGGTGGCAAATATGTGCCTCGGGCTGTCCTTGTTGATTTGGAGCCTGGCACCATGGACTCGGTGCGATCGGGTCCCTTCGGTCAGATTTTCAGACCCGACAACTTTGTGTTCGGTCAATCTGGCGCCGGTAACAACTGGGCTAAGGGTCACTACACAGAGGGCGCTGAGCTCGTTGATTCAGTGCTTGATGTTGTTCGTAAAGAGGCTGAATCGTGCGATTGCCTGCAAGGCTTCCAGCTTACACACTCACTTGGAGGCGGCACCGGTTCTGGCATGGGTACCTTGCTAATCTCCAAGATCCGAGAGGAATACCCCGATAGAATCATGAACACATACTCGGTTGTGCCCTCGCCGAAGGTATCAGATACCGTTGTTGAGCCCTATAACGCTACCCTGTCGGTGCACCAGTTGGTCGAAAACACAGATGAGACCTATTGCATCGATAATGAGGCTCTCTACGATATCTGCTTCCGTACCCTTAAGCTGACTACCCCAACATACGGCGACTTGAACCATCTCGTCTCCCTGACAATGTCTGGCGTCACAACTTGCCTTCGCTTCCCTGGCCAATTGAATGCTGATCTCCGCAAACTGGCAGTTAATATGGTTCCATTCCCACGTCTCCATTTCTTCATGCCCGGTTTTGCGCCCCTTACCTCCCGAGGCTCCCAGCAGTATAGAGCGCTTACAGTGCCCGAGCTAACCCAACAGATGTTCGATGCCAAGAACATGATGGCTGCCTGCGATCCTCGTCATGGCCGTTATCTGACCGTTGCTGCCATCTTCCGTGGACGCATGTCCATGAAGGAGGTTGACGAACAGATGCTTAATATTCAGAACAAGAACAGCTCATACTTTGTTGAATGGATCCCCAACAACGTGAAAACGGCAGTGTGTGACATCCCGCCCCGTGGTCTGAAAATGTCTGCTACATTCATTGGAAACTCGACTGCCATTCAGGAACTGTTTAAGCGCATCTCTGAACAATTTACCGCTATGTTCCGCCGCAAGGCTTTCTTGCATTGGTACACTGGTGAGGGCATGGATGAAATGGAGTTCACCGAAGCAGAAAGCAACATGAATGACTTGGTCTCTGAATACCAGCAGTACCAGGAGGCAACTGCCGACGAAGACGCCGAGTTCGAGGAGGAGCAAGAGGCTGAGGTGGATGAGAACTAAATTCTCTAAAGTTGCGTCAAATAAAATGAGAACAACAACAATTAAGTTTTCAACGATTGTTCTTTTAACGTAACCAATAAAGTCGAAACGATTTCTTATAAAAAAAATTTGTTTGCCTTCTGCTAGTTGAAACTGGTTATTGTCGGATTTGCTCATATGCTAGCAAAATAGTTTAACTAATAAATGCCGGCTTACTTAAGATATCTTGATAAAGAAAAACCTGTACTAGAACTGAAAGTTCGATTGATTGTTTCTATGGTAAGTATCTGTTCAAGTTGTCTGTTAATTGGATTTGAATATATCTAAGAAACATAGTGAGACATATAAATGCCTAGTTTAATGTGGCAAAACAAACGTTTGTTGAGGCAATAACTTAATTTTGAACTGATCGTTCATAGGACATATATGATATAGTGGTCCAACCCGGACAGTATGCAAAGTTACAAGCCGCTACCTTTAAAACCAAAATTCTCGTTCGGAATAAATACTAATAAAAATACTAAATGCATAGAATAAAAAATACTTTGTTGGGTCGGAGATGTTTCTATGTGTTGCAAACTTAATGACGAACCGTGAAAAACTACCCTATAAAATTAATTCGTTTACACATATCTCGAAAAAAAATAATTTAAACATTTTTTTTCATAAGCCTGTCAACAATAATTGGTTGCTTGTAGAATATGTATTTTCCATATCTATAATGTTATGGCCGCAATTTTAACCCTTAGCTCCTGTCCTGTCTCCATCTTCATTAACTTTTAATTGTGCATTTACTAAATAAATATTCAATCACTTAGATTTAACATGCAAAAAATATGTGTATAGCGTTCTCCATATTAAATTAGAACAGAATGTAAGCAAGTGTGACCCTGTAATTTACTTGGAAGAGAACGGTCACACAAACCAAGTAGAATCCAAGTATCGGAGCATTTTAACGAAAATGTGACCCTAATTTTCAACCTTTTTCTGGTCACACTGTACATTTTGTACGGAGCACCAGTGAACAGCTGGCCATCAGACATTAGAATCAATTTCAGGAATTCCACTAATATATTGTTATTGAGAACTGAAAAAACTATATGGATTATCGATAATATATTTTTATGTGCAATTGCTTTGGCCAAATTTTCTTTTCCTAATCCCAATTAAAATTGTATTAGCAAAACGTACATCCATGCAGATAATGCAACACTAGTGTATACAGGACCGTAAAATATTTTACGTTAGTCTCTGCTATAAAATAAAATGTGTGTACATAAATCTGACAATTAATACGAATTTTAAAGTTTTCTATTACGTTTGTTTACTTCTCGATTTGCATGATGGCATGAAGACAACTGGTTGACGCACTTAATCCGTTACCCAACACTGCATTTTTATATATACGATTTTGAGTGTTGTCACAGACTGACTTTTGGCAGGTAAGACAGAAAACGAAAATGGTTATATTGCAAAAAGTATATATACATTTAGTAAGTAAATTTTTCAGATGATAGCAATGGACGAGCAGCGCAGCGATAAGATCTATGGCGGTTGTGAGGGGCCAGACGCAATGTACGTGAAACTGATTTCATCAGACGGACACGAATTTATTGTAAAACGCGAACATGCTCTCACCTCTGGCACAATTAAGGCAATGTTATCTGGCCCAGGACAATTCGCTGAAAACGAGGCTAATGAAGTGCACTTTCGTGAGATACCGTAAGTTACACCTGTGATCCTCACTAATTACGCACAGTACTTTTTTTCAAATCAAGAGTGGCCCCTTGACCGGTCAAGGGAGTGCAAATAATCTGTGATATATGTATGTATGTATGCGTACATGCATATGTATATGTACGTCCATCTGACATACATACGCACACATGCGTGTTTAATTGCATAAAAACATGTATTTACATAAATAGTTAGTCAATTATTTATGCATTTGCAACTTTACCGACTAAATATAGTTTAAAAATCATAAATTTGTATAGATTTAGTTGTCATATGTTTTAATATAGCATTCATATATGTGCATACATACATACGACCCCATCGGGCAAACGCACATACATATACATATGTACAGTCACAAAATAAATATTTATTATTTGTATTTTCAAAACGCTTTCAAGCACTTCAAAAAGCTATGTTTTTTTAAACTGAGTTTCTTAACCTTAAGAACGTTATTAAGACGTCTTTTAAAAATTTCCTTGTGCGTTTGAATGCATATAAAGAGTTAAGTTATGTCAAGTTATTCTATATGTATTATATATTCTATATACTATGTCAAATCAAGTATATTTTCATTCAGCAAACTGATAAATATTGTATACTAATCAATTTAGTATAAGTTGCATTCAAAGCAAGAAGAGTATCCGATCTTCGAGACCGCAAATATTTGACCTATAAATGTTAGAGTAAGGATATTTTCGGCACGCCGACGAGTAAATACTCTTGTAGGCATTTTCCTCTTGCAGATATGCGAGAACGTTGAGGCTCGTAAAGGATGAGTTTGATGAAAATCTCTTGGAAAATATAATATTTTTTCTTATGAGAACCTACTTTTCGACCGTATGTACCTATGTCAGCTATATGATATAGTTATCCGATCCGGCTAATTGTGATATATGTATTCCGTGCGAGAGAAAAAGGGACATGAGAAAAGTTTCATGACGATAGTTTTAAAATTGAGAGACTAGCTCGCATAGAAACAGACAGATGGACATGGCTATATCGACTGATCAAGAATATATATAGAAATTATATAGTCGGAGAGTGCGCCCTCTATGCGTTACACATTTCGAGACACAATTATAATAGCCTCTGCAAGGGTATACAAATTAGGGTAACCTTAAGGCGAGACATTGATGCGAATTCGATTTACATAAAGTATAATTTGAAGTGTAATATATATGTTTATTCTATTTGATATATTTTCGTATTTTCTTTTCAGATCGCACGTTTTACAAAAGGTTTGCATGTACTTCACATACAAAGTTCGATATACCAACAGTTCGACTGAAATACCAGAATTTCCGATTGCACCAGAGATTGCCTTAGAACTTTTAATGGCAGCTAACTTTCTAGATTGCTAAGTTATTGGTTAACTTAATAATGTTAAATAAAATTTTTCAAAATCAATCAAATTTAATATATTGTTTTTATGTATTTACCTATGTTTTAAAAGAAGTAGAAAATTTACACCTGTTAAAAATATATTTATTTAATGTCAGCTTTAGATGCCAAATTGATTGAATTAAAATGTATGTATGTAATTATGTATGTGTGTGTGTGTGTGTGTGTGTGTGTGTGTATGTGTGTGTGTGCGTGTATGTATGTATGTGCACACATATGTATGTATGTATGCATGCAAGTTTTCTTCTATAGCATTAGCATTGCGCTGAAAATTTAAATAAGAAAACGTATTTATTAGAGCTGCCCTCCTCCTCGATTCTCACAAATTTAAGTAAGGCCTGCAGGCTTCACCTATGAATTAGGCGCAGGCGGCCTCAACTCTGGAAGGTGAGGAGCATGGCGGAGGAGCACCCTTGGGCGGATCAGGAGGCGTGTGTCTGTAGGTATGTATGTAGGTATGCATGTATGTTATTTATGCATGCATGCATGCATGTGTGTATATATGTATGAGTATGTGCATGTATTTTCACACGAATGTTAATTAAGAATAATGTTTTCAGGCCTTGCCGTAACACGTTTAAATGCGTTTAAAATCGATCGGAAGGTAAACAGAAAACTTTCATACAACCTATTTTCGCCAATTTCCCACTGTTGCGGGTGAAATTTCCCAATTCGCTGAAACAGGTATTCACTAAGTTCTTGTGTAGAGCTTTGAAAATAAGTTTGAAGCAAATCGAACATAAGTTTATAATTTTTATTAAATTTTGCCTAATAATATACGGTTACAGCACGCAAGTTTTCTATATTTACTATAAATAAATCCAGCTGGTAATGACCTTGATTGCCGACGCTTTCGGCTCTTTGAAGGACAACTGTGTGTGTTACAATAAATCGATGTGCCACGGCGTAACCATGGTAATCAGGCGGAGGTTCGTGCGGCAAAACATTGTAAAAGTTTGCCATATTTTGAATACTAGTTAACAATATAGTCGTAATATGGGAATGCTGCACAATTTGTCGGACTTGATCAAAGTGAAAAGGGATAAAATGACCATATTAGTTTTGGGCTTAAATAACAGTGGCAAATCGACCATAATCAACCATTTCAAGAAATCAAGTGAACAGTCGGCCGTAATGGTGCCCACTGTTGGATTTCTGATCGAGCAATTTTATAGTAAGTACCTTTCTTTTTGAAATATTTATACATCATAAACCGTCTCTTAATCGAACAGACATGGGCGTGAACATTAAGGCAATAGATATGTCAGGTGCCACGCGATACAGAAATTTGTGGGAACATCAGTTCAAAAATTGCCAAGGGATTATATACGTAATTGATGCAAGCGACAGGATGAGATTCGGTATATTACATAATACCTATATGAAATATATTTTATGACCTCTCTTCATTTAAGTTGTTGTCAAAGATGAGTTGGACCTTGTGCTGCAACATCCCGACTTTTGTAATCGTATAGTTCCCATTCTGTTTTATGGCAACAAATCCGACCTCGAGGATTCGCTCTCCAATGTGAAAATCGCGGCGGGTAATCAAGCGGCATTAATACCAATTCATTTGTTTTTATTTTTGTTTGTTGATTAAATCTGAACTCTCTCTCTTTAGCATTGGGTCTCGAAAACATCAAAGAGAAGCCATGGCACATTTGCTCCAGCAACGCAGTTTCCGGCGAAGGCTTGGACGAGGGCGTACAGTGGCTCGTTCAGCAAATACGCTTTGCGATACTGAGCAACAAAAAGAAAGGCAAGAAATTGAAGTTAACATCTAAGGACAATAAATAATTGACGTAACGAGATACAAACAAAGGCGTATTTGTATTAAGGTGTAGTCTAATAAGGTGTTAGTTTACTCCCAGGTAGGAATCCTAAAGATCCAGTTTTAGTTGGTAAAAATTTGAACACATGTCCGCCTAGGAGATCTCCTGTACTGGAAAGCACTCTAGCTTTCAGCTCCTATAAACATTCTATAAAAATGGTCTAAAAAACGCATTGAGACCTATTTTGACTCCCATCCATACGATAAATGGATCCTGGATATGGCTCTATATAATCTGATTGTTATCACATCACGATTCCAATCGTAAAATAATCTAATACCTCTGGATGTTACTTCCGTGGAGACATGGCACCGCGTGGTAAAGATCTTACGATTTTCACGTTATGTTATCGCATTTCAAGCTTACGGAATCATAGAACAGCTTGCTAATGACTTGCTCCTAATTTTATCCAGTTCAGTATATAGTTTCTCTATATGCAATAATGTAGTAGATAAACGTCTGCAAGCTTAAAAAACGCAAAATTAAAAATTTCTCCGATGACGGGTTTATTACAGAATTTTTTTTTTTTTTTAGATTGTAAACAGCTACGCGAGGCGCGTTTATTTCTTGCTATTTAAGATGATTCCATCGTACTTCTGCTGGAACCACTTCATGGCGTCCTCCTTCGTCAGGCGGTGCTGGAAGCCGACGGTGCCAGATTTACGTTTTCTGTGGGCCACGTTGTAACCTGAAGCAAAGAAAACGAAACATGTTTATTAACTCTGCCAACAACAAGATATATGGAAGATTCTTCAGTGTTCGGCGTATTTGTCGAAATTGTACCGTCTGCGTTTGCATGTTAACAAATACATTTGAGCACATCTTCATTGTTTTGCGCACATTTACTGAGCGTCAATTTCGTTTTGGAAATAGACACCTAATTGTGTGCAGAATTGGTTTATTGATAGTTTCAGCAGTAAGTCTCACCTGGACGTCCCAAGACAACGTAGAAGTCCAGACCATAGATACCGATTGAGGGATCATACTTAATGCCCAAATCGATATGTTCCTGAATACCAAATCCAAAGTTTCCAGTGGCGGAGAAGTTGTCGCGTCTAAGCTCGTACTCGCGAACTTTCAAGCCACGCTCCAGGATTTCTTCGGCCTTTGCGCCGCGCACCGTGCAATGCACAGCGATTTTTTCATTACGACGAATTCCAAAGGAACGCACTGTGTAGCGGGCCTTAGAAAACACGGGCTGCTGTCCAGTCAGCTGCTCTAAAACCTGACAATGAACATTGCTTTGGTCAATTACCACAATAATTATTTACATATCAGAGAACTAACCTTGGCGGCACGGGTAAGCCTATCACCAGATTCACCTACGCAGATGTTGAGGCACAGTTTCCTTATGTGCAAATCTCGCATAGGGTTTTTCGCGGGATCGCGCTTGATTTTGGGTTCCTTCTTAGCAACGGCCTGAAAAATGTATATTTTGATTAACCAATTAGATATTTAAATCCGAAATAATATTGCAATTATCAAGTAAGACCGAAATTCTCGCACTCTACATTCATAGTTTTAAATAATATGTAAGGATTATGGCCGATGTGAAATAATTTACACTTGACAAGAATTTCAGAAAACCTACCGCCATTATGGTATGTAGGAAAGAAAGGAAAAAGGCGTGTTACAGTTCAGTGTCAGCTATTGCCATCGATAATGGTTATCGATTTTAATCGATAGGCCACATAAACACAGAGACATTCCACAAAAAGTAGATGTTTGAAATATATATCATTTAGATTTTTTTGGAAAATAACAATAATCGTCATCGATTGCTTGTGGTAATAAAAATTGCATTTAATTGCTTATTATTCGTTAATCTATAAAATTTGGACTATTGACTTATTATCATTTAACCGTCTGCTGGTTCGTGCTGCTCATCGCACATGGATTTTGGATCCCGTAAAATACAGAGAGACGTATTTAAAATACAAACCCTAACAGATGCAGAAAAAAGATTATGTTAAAAGATTTATAACTGCACTATTTTCTGATATTCGAAAAATATCGATTAATGGGTTTGGATATTTTAAAGCGATTTCACTAATGTAAACGATAATTGCGTGAAGCGTTCGTCGTTTTCATATGCATTTTGTACATACCGATGTATCGATTGACTATTAACAACTCTACAATATGGCTGCCTGATTTTAATGTGATTTTTTTGGACGACGTATGCTGCTGCTTTGCCTAGTGTATGTGGTTAAAAAAGATTATTACAGTAATCTTTGAAGTGCAACAAAGAATTATTTATAAATTTGTTGCAGCGTCCGAAAACCAACATAATTGACTTAATTTATATAGCGCAATATCAAGTTACTTAGAATGTCTTCTTGCGCTGAATTGAATTAATGACAATGTAGCTTTTTAAATACATAAACAATATTTAGACGAAAAAGTCACTGTGAGCCAAATTAGTTTGTAAAAACGCGTTAATTTAGTTCCATAACTTGAAAACGGTTTTTATAAAAAAAAAAAAAATCCTATTGAGAAATATACATAGCTGCTGTGAGTGAGCGAGTGAGAAAGATACATACATATGTATGTATGTATGCATTTGCATTTCGTTGTGTAGTGTCGTCGACTGCTCGGTAAAAGTCGGTCTTTCTTTTCCACTAACACTTGGCGTTTGAAAATTAAAAAAAAAAAAATGAAATTAAGTAATAATGTGTTATATGAATGAAACAAGGCGTAAGGTAATGGATCGCGTATGACTTTCAAAAAGCTTATGTCCATGTACCGTGATTTTCTCACCTAATATTGTTTGTTCAGGAATTATTTTTATTGGTAAGTACCATGGGGTTTCATATGGCTATGGCGAACCAGCAAATCAATATTTTAGGGGGCTGCCATTTCGTTCGCTGTTTCGCTAGTTTTTCTCTTTCATTCGCTGCCGCTGTCTGCCCCCGCCTGCCCTACCGCCCGCTAACGCCCTGTCAGCCCCCGTGGCACAAGAAAATAAACTCTGCGTGCTTTGTAATAACGAGTACATTTTCTGGGCATATAAAGCAAAAAAAAAAAAGCAAAAAAAATGCCTGAATAAAGAAATTGACATAAGTAATGTATGTACATCGGTTTAAATGAAAATGTGCGTGTGTGTGTGTGTGTGTGTGTGTGATGTTAATCGTTAATGTGCATAAGTTGTTCTTTTTCGAAGTGTAATTGTGTTGTGCATATTTTCTATCAATAATTTTGTTTAATCACATTCGGAAAATTTGTAGATGCATTTGCAACAGACAACTGATACTTTGTTGATTAATACATAAGCCTTATATACACATAAGTGCATATGTATATGCACAATTATGAAAATGGTCGCGAGCTGTGTGTATATATATAAATATATATATATATATATATATATATATATGTATACTAATAATATATTATAATTAAAGGGTGTGTGACGCAAACATTTGTATGTATATTTACCTACTTGTATCGTATTCAATGTATTTCTTCCCTGTTGGGTTGAGTACTTTTATTTGCTTATTCCTGGCAAAAGATATTGTGGTCCGATCCGGCCGATTCCGAATATGTAAAGCCCTCAACAAAAAGACAGACTATGCAAAGTTTTTATATTATATTATATATACATATACTTTATAAGATCGGAGCACAGTTATAATATCTTCAACAAGCTAAATATCTCATTCTATATACTTTATATTATATTGTATTATCTATTAGTTTGATTTGCCATACAGTTTTTTAAAAATGTAAACATTTATTGGGCTCTTCTGAGAAACATAAGTTTCCAATTCGATTTTATAAGTTTATTGAATACCATGTGTAAAATCCAATCAGAAATTTTGATTCTCGTCCGATTGGCTTCAAGTTTTCATTGCTTTACATCATATTTTCAAAAGTTTTCCCCAAATGGAAAATAGGTGGCGAATCAAAAGAAAAAAAACTCGGCTCGACAGTCTATTATCATATATATATACATATATATATCTTGTGTATCAGACGTAACGGCGATGTCTTCCAATATGTACGAACTATTGGTGCATGTTGAGCAGATTGTGCTCGAGCTGATCTCAAGTATTACGTCTTTTGAGAATGTTACTTTAAAAATTCCACGCATATGTCGAGATTGGTACGACCCAATCAATTTTGAGGATAATATCGGAGTATTTGATAACGTGAAGGCAATTTTGAATTGTCGCAAGATTATGTACAATAATCGACGTAGTCGTCACCGGTTTTGTCTGATTGTGTATCTCTTGGCCGAGATCCATAACTTGCACTTGTCCGGCGGTAGTTGCACAATCCGTGGACTCTACTATCGGGACACTCATGTGGTTCGCTCGCAGAGCTACATTGTGGCAGCCAAATTGGATGTCTGCCGCATGCTGAACACGGCGCCCGTCAATCTGGGCATATTATCGGCGTCGAAAGGACTTATTGCAGGTGTGAAGTTTTGTCAAACCACAATATGCTGTAGAATTAACTATTTCTCTATTTTAGGTGACATTAAGCTGCTCATGAGCAATGGCGATATATTGGACTGCAACGTCTATTGTGGAGCTATAACATTGCCAACGGACTTTGAGAATGTGGAACGCATTGTGACAAATGCCGAAATGGTCCTGATCGTTGAAAAGGAGTCTGTCTTTGAGAGCTTGCTTGCCTGCAATGCTTGCAACACGATTGGCTTGCGTTTCATTTTGTTGACCGGCAAGGGATATCCGGACTGTACAACGCGACGCATTGTGCACAGATTGTCCGTTGAGTGCAACTTGCCTGCCTATATTCTGGTAGATGCCGATCCATTTGGCATTGAGATAATGCTCACCTACCGACACGGTTCGCAAGCCATGAGCTTCTCGTCCAAGAGTCTTGCCACACCAATGCTGCGCTGGCTTGGCTTGCATCCGTCCGAAATTGACAGTATATCCAAACGCGCTGTTGCCCTTACCAAATACGACAATAAAAAGATTCTTGATATTCTTTCCCGCAGTTACATTAGCTTGGGTGTCAGGCAGGAGCTGCAGACGCTGCAAAGAATTCAGTTCAAAGCCGAAATCGAGAGTGTCATTGATTTTTTAAGTCCTTACTATATACCCACTAAAATTAATAGGAATTTGTTCTTGTAATTTTTTCAAATGGTTTTCTGATCAAATCAGAAAACCAAAAGTTGCCTTGAACATTTTCACGCACCCAAAGCTAATATACTTAAATTTATTTCTTTAAAAGAAATGTGTTTGTATTAATATTTGAAAGCTGATTTTCTTAATTGTCATAACCTTTTCTAAGTTCATGTACACAATCTTTTTGAGAAAGTCTTGACAAAATTGTGTCTAGAGACGCATTCGCACCACTTTTCCACGATTTAACTCATAAAATGTCCAACTATTTACGAAATGTTTTAAGAAACAATATTTGAACATCACATTTGTGCATTCATGATGCACAGAAGCATGAACCATTTATAAAGACAACACTATTGGATTAACAGGTTGACAAATGAATTGAGGAATTGCCAAAAGTTATATACAATATGTTGATTAGAACACTTAAGAAAATTGTAATAGTATTTTAATAAATAATTTATATTATGCAATATAAAAGTACATTAGTATTGTGGTGTTATTATTTAAAGTCTTAATTTAAGAAGCAAGTTCCATCAGCGAATGCCTTATGTCAGGCGCTTTTGGCAGCCACCGGAACGCGTTTTAGTCTTTATTAAATAAGTCCTTAATCGATTGTTTAAGCAATTAAGATAGTTTGTATTCTTGCAACTGCTTCTCTTACAAATCTTAACCAGCGGGACGTACTTCTGAGTAGTAATTAAGAGCTTGTTGCTGGGCTTGGAGCATCTCCTAGTCGAACATTACTTTATTTTATTTTTTTATTTTCCTTCTGGTATTTGATGGCCTTAAATGGTACAAGTTTTTTTCTTTAAATTTTCGGCTGTGGTCAACTAAAATTTTCGCAAATCATTCCGAACTTCAGGTCTCAATTTAAATTGAAGACTAGCTGGTTTTTCCGCACTTCCTTGAACTTCACGTCTGAAACTATTTTGTATGTAAATAAAAGTTTGTTTAAGGTCCAACAAATTAAAGTGCCAAAAGTCCGATTCAACTTTAAACGCCCATTTCAGTCTCGTGGCGAAGAAATTTCAATTATTTAATAAACTTATCGGATGGTAAACAAAAAAGTTGTTTGCAAACGTTTTCTGTAAATTTTGTCACATTTGTGGGTTAAATTTTCACATTCGCTTATGCCCAAATTCATCGAGTTCTTTGGTAGGACTTAAAAAAAAGATTTTTAGATAGTTTGTAATATTGCGATAAGTTTGCAACACAACAGAATTTGAGCCTGAAAAGATATCAATGAAATCTTTGACCCACATTTCCAACAGGAACGTGTGAGTTTTTGGAAAATATTGAAACACCTCACGAATTACTTTGAGAAAAGCAAAGATCCTCGCTAAATGAGTTTGAGGCGGATTATTTTTTTGTCTGCTCCCATTTCCCTTTATTCTTTAAAATTGTTGCTGGCTGCTTGTTCTTCTTAATAATAATCTGCCACATATTGCCCTTTGCTTCTATTCGACAAAAAATGTTTTAAAAGCTTATTTACAAGAAACACTTGATTTTTCTATGCTTTCTTTTTAGGTGTAAAAAGTGGCTCCCGACAGATGATAGCAAATAACTCATTAGGAAATTAAATAAATTTAAGCTATATTAAACGGCAAGTACTTTTAAAGGAAGGCGTATAAGGAGAAGGTGGAGCAGCACTTGAACCACATTGCATCGTTCAAGAGATTTGGCCAAAATATGTCTACAGCAATGCGAACAACACTGCAACCAGTTCCTGAAGCCCTGCCCGCAGAAAATGTCTCCAACGGCACTGCGACGCCGGCTGCCACGCCCTCGTCAACGTCAACGGCCGCCAGCACAGCCGCTGCCAGCACAACCACGTATACGGCCAATACAATCAGCACGTCTGCGCATTCCGTGAAGGATCAGCAGCAGCAGCAGCAGCAGCAGCATGACTCAGCCAATGCCAACATTGTCTCACTGCCACAGACAACAACAACAACAAATTCGACAACAACAACGACAATGTTGCCAACATCGTCCTCGATTTCCACGACAAGCAGCACACCCGTGGCCGTGACAGCAGCTCCCACGACGAACACGAACCACGCGCACCAGCACAGCCATCAGCATCAGCACCATCAGCACGTGGCCAACAACATGGCCACGGATGGTGCCCGCCTCTCAAGCAATAGTAGCGCATCTGGAGCAGCCAATGCGATCAATCATCATCATCATCATCCGCCCGGCGGGGGCGGCGGCGGCGGTGGCGGCGGCGGAGTGGGAGCTGTCGGAGCCAGCGCGGTTAACAAGAACGTGCTCAGCACACACTCGGCCCATGCATCTGCCATCAAACAGCGAACAGCATCCGCCAAGGTAAGCTAATCCTAATCGTATTCAATCGATGTGCATTCATGGAACTGTTGTCCGTCCAGTTATAAGATCACGCCAACATATATCTGTGCCTAGGCTCGGTTCGGTATCGGTATCGATTCATGTACACGTCCAATATTCTTGTCCAATTTTTACATCCGTCTTTTCTCTTACTTCTTGTTAATGTGCATTCATCTTCATCGTGCATTACGGGTACTTTTTGCTCTGATTGTGTAATATTCATAAAAAAAAAAAAAAACGTGGCTCTACTCGATTGGAATCGGGCGAAGGGGTTCCTATATGAATTAAGTGTAATGTTGACCTAGGTCATGCTTGAAATTGTGGCCTAAATGCATCGTCATGACTAAGAGATATCCTATAAACAGCTCCGGATTGCCTAAACCGGATAGAGGAATCTAGAGCATATATCAATAGCCGGTTCCATCTATCCATGTACATCTTTTAGAGATGGACGCGGGCCATCTCCCGTGCCCCTCAGTAAATATAATACTATGTCTTATAGCTCATAGCCTAATATGAATTCCGGAATATAATGTCATACGAATTCTAGAAATAAGTTCTATTAATAGCCCAATTAAGGGCATAAGGATGTTTATATACCAAATCATAGGGTTTTAGCTTAACAAATCAGTTTTTATTTAATTTTGCAGAGATTAAGGGGGAAGGTATCGAAAGAAGTATTCCCAGTGAAGTACTCCCAATATGTGTTCCCATTTCCCAAAATCGATTATTATCGATATTTTGCGAATGTTACGTGATATCGACAAAAATGATTTCAATGTTTAAGAATCCAGCTTTTGTAGTGTGAAATGTCTAGCCTAGATTCTATATCTATATTCAGATATTGACCAATATTTGGTTAAGTCAGGTCAAGTTTATTTCCAATCATCCTATCAGAGCTAAAGACACACAGATCTGGAATACTTTCGATGCCTTTCCCATTTCCAATATGGAAATCCTGCTGCGAACTGCTACTTCATACCAATCTTGGTGTACTTTCATATTAAATATTGTCAAGGTTCCTTGTAGAATTGCCAAGGTGTGCAGTAGGGATGCCACCTCAGTGGAATATTCCACGGGCGGGAAATGGGTGAAAAGTATTACCTTAAAATTCGAAGCGACAAACTGAAAATGGGCCACATCGGTAAATACCCGCTAGTCTTATCTATAAATACAAAATAAGATTTAAAGAAGAAGCCGAAGATTTAATACGCTTAAGGGCATTTGCTTTACGGGCTTGAAAATGCATATGTGAGAAAAGTAAAGCTCGCGAATTTGGGAAAAATATTTAAAAACAGTATTTTTCAATACAAAAATAATTGTATGATCGCTTCTTCAATCTTGATCAAATTTGGCCCATAATTAAGCATCATAGTTAAAATAGTGACTGGAAAAATGCTGGAATACAATTAAGAATCTATCTATAACCTATGTAAATCGTCTTATAGTTTTTAAAGCGTATCGACTAGTCGGATACTGTCAATATCATGTTAAATACTTGTAAATTGGATCATATCAAATACAAGTGCAAGTGTAATCGACAGAAAATGACTAAATAGAAGAAGCAAAAAGTATAGCAATTTAAAATTATCGTTACTTTTCTTCCATTCTCACTCGTTTCTTCGTCGATTGATGGATCATAAAAGTCAAAAGCCTTCGGATCGGATCTTTTGCTACTTTGTTGAAAACTGCTTCGCTCTGCACATCAGTTATTTTTGTTTGATTGCCAAAGCTCGCTCGCTCTCTCCCTCTCTCTTTCTCTCGCTCTCTCTCTCTCAACGGAAAGCTTAAACTTTTTTGAGTGTTTCTGTTCAGGTCGGTGTGTGTGCGTGAGACACATGTCACATGAACACGCATACACGCATACATTTGAGCGCTGCATGGCAATACATTCAAATGTGTGCGTATATATGTATGTACATTTTTTTGTTTTGAATCATTCCCATTCTGAATGACTCTGAAGATCATGTAAATACATATATACAGTTGTATGTATGTACATACATCCAGTACACACATACATTTAGTTAAATTCATACATAGTATGTACAAACGAGACACAACAATTTTATAGGGTGTGTCGTTCTTAGCGTTGTTGCTTTTCGCTTTAAGATTAAACTATGGCCGTCCGGCACAAGCTGCAAAATACAATTTCTGAGCGAAGCGCGCTAGAACTTATCCAATATGCCGCTCGGCACCGCACAGCCAATGGTCGAAAGCTTGTTTTAGTATTAAGTTCCACTTCATTCGTGTGGTCACTGTGTCGCGTTCGCCGTTGTCGTTGTCGCTGTCGCTGTCGCTGTTATTGTTCGACGCTCGCCAACGGTACTGTTGTTATCGACAAACAATAGTTGTTAGCAATGAAATTACTTGAATATTTTAACTTCATTGTCATTGCTACTTTCTCGAGGCAGGGCTTACAATTTATTAAGATATCAAATGAATCTGAATTCAACAAATTTGTCCCTTTGTCCCCAGACAGAAACAATTTAGCTGTAGTTAGTTTAATTCAAGTGCATGCGTACGCTGATAACAGAATAATTCTGTATGAAAAACTGAAATTATAGTTAAATGTTAGTCGCTGACTTACATATGCACGTGCAGCATACATATATGTACATACATATATATGCATTATCGGGTAATTTGTGTTAAATAATGGTATTTGTTTTGTAGCCTCAGCGAAAGCTTTGCTGCTCAGATGCGACTAAGCCAAACCAATTGCGAATGATAAGTTAATTTAATTATAAGGTACTTACATATGCACATGACATACACACACACAAACACACGCACACACACACACACACGCAAGCAAACATATACAGACATTTTAAATATAGTATGGTGCAACAAGCAGTAAAACAAAAAAAAAAAAAACGGATAAAAATAAAGAAAAATCGTCAAATTCCTATACAAAACATTGCACAGACAATAACATGCGTGTGTGTGTGTGCGCGTAACTTTGGATTCGCATGTGTGTGTGAGTGAGAACCAGCAAGTGAAGCTTTAATGCAAACGAGCTAACCAGAAGAAAAGCAACAACAAAAGTGATTAAGTAAATGAGAAAAATAACAAGAGGAGCAAAAAATAAAAAAAAACAAACGTGCTGAGCTTTTTTAAACTTGTGTTGATACAAATGTGGGGCTTCATCGTCTCTGCTTCTATTTCGGTTTGCGTCGTCGTTGTCTCATTTATCTCTATATTTTTACGTTTACGTTTACGTTCGGGCGTGCGCGAGCGCGACTAACGCGTTCCACATCCATAAGTGTGGAATGCATTTGTGTGTGTGTTTGTGTGTGTGTGTGTGTGGAACTTACTATCAAAACGGTCTCAAGCTTAAAAGCTTTACAACATGCAAGCATTCATCATGTATAATATATATATAAAAAGTTAAAAATTGCCTGTATGTGTGCGTGGGCGTGTGTGTGTGTGTGTGCCTGTGCGTACGTTGGTGTGTGTATTAGAAATGTGATACTCAGTGGAAAGATAAGACAACGTTGTTGAATTTTTGATAGAACCCATCCATGAGGCATGTGAGCCTCAAGCTTATTGCAAAAAATTAAGATAATTTCTGTGTAGGAAACAATTTATAATAATGCATGTGAAAAATATAAAATGTGTGTGTAAATTAACTGTATTCAATATATGTACATTTGCTTTGCAAGATGGACAACAAAGTATCAGCTGCTGCAGCCATTGATATGCACACATGTTTTGCGTCTATACATACATAGGGATATACATACATAGATCAAATTCACAACTACATACATATTCGCGCGAATTCAATGCTTGCTCAATTCAAATAATTGCAACCTCTTTTGTACGGCGGAGAATACGCGACGCGTAGAATGCTTGTTGTAAACAAATCGAATTTCTGAAAAGTTGGCAAATACAAATCGCAATATGGGTCAGACCTCCAGTCACAGGCAAACCCAAACCCACTCGAGTCACAACAACAATAACAAGGAAGAGCCCGTCGCCGGGCAGTTTGCGAGCCGCCGCACCTCAGCCCGCAAATCGAAATCCTCCTCCAAGCATTATGCGACGCTGGTGCAGCAGCCCCTGCACAAGGATGAGCTATCCATATTGCGCGATTCGCTGCTACGCAACGGCAGTATTATGCGCAAGAACATGTCCGATCCCCAGCGCCGGCCGGTCACCATAAGCGAGCTATCGCCGCCCCAGCCGCAGGCGAGCGTCGGCTCGCAGGATTACGTTGTCGGAGCTGCGGATAGCAACAGCACCACGAATCTGATTAGCTTTCAGCTGCCGGTCGATTGCAGTGCCAAAGTGGAGGATGTGTCATTGGCATCCGCATCGGCATCGGCATCGGCTACGGCGGCCTCAAAAGAGACTCGCAATGAGTTCTACATTGTCGGCGATGGGTATCACAAGACGGACTATTGCCATTATCGTACGCCGAATGGAAATTTCCACAAGCTGCCATCCGACTCGTTCCACAAGATGTCCGAGGGCTGCTTTGTGCGCATGGCCGACGGCGTGTTCCGGCGCCTCGAGCTGCCCGCCAAAGCGCAGCAGGTGTCCTGTCGCGCCTCCAAGCTGGGCGATATTTCTGGCGCGGACAGCAACGAAAATGGCCTCGGCGCAACCAGTGTCAAGCGACAGCTGTTGAATTTCCTCAAAAGGTCAAAGAGTCACACGCCCGCAACAATTGCCAAGCTCCAAAAGGACAAGGATGACGCGCGCCTCGAACGCAAACAACGCCTCTCGAACGCCATGCGACAAAAGGCGCTGCAGCTGAAAACTTCGTCGGCGAACACGCCCAACAACAAAATCGTTGTCACCATGATCGAGAACGGTGGACTTCCAATCGTGGCCACCAGCAAAGCCGACCGACCCAAGTGCAAGGACAGCGCCTCCGTTGCCGCGGAAAAGGCGCGTACTTCAAGGGTATGTACTGAACAACGTGTGGGGGATATATTTGACAGAGTGTAGAAAGTGTTTTCAAAAAATATGCATATCTAATCAATAAGTTATCGATGAGTATGCATATGCAATTCTGCAAATGTAATTGATATATCGATTCAAGCTGATGCAATGTATCGATATTTTCAATAAGATTGCGAATCCCTTTTTGAACGATTGTGAAACCGTTTAACTGTGTCCAAGAATAATTACAGAATGCACATATATAATTCTTAAAAGAAATTATAATGCTTTTGTAAAGAAAGCTAACAAGCCCATAAATTCCCATTTATATTCTTGATCAGCTATAGATACATATTAAACATATCGAATGTATCGTTTCCTTTTCGATATCTTGCCCTTTTTCAATGATATCGATAAATATGGTGTTTACACAGGGGTATTTAAGCATATATAGCCTAATTCCACTATGATCCAAAAATGTTACATTTTCAAACTTCACATTTTGGTGTTCCATTGGCAAGTGTACGTTGACGGTAAAATGTGAGTGACAAATGTACATAAGGTCTGGGCAGATACTATATCCTGCGACGTGCCCAGTCAACGGGATGTAAGCGGACCTCTTTGGGTCTCTTTGTCAATGGTATTTTAGACTGTTGGAAGAGCCTTATTCTGCTTTTGGATAGCATAACCCCAGAGTAATCCTGATGTATCTATTCGTAACGCATTTCCCGATTAAAAACTAATTAATTAATATAGTGTATATATGTAGATGCCACGCTTCGTAAGGTTAAATTTAAAATGGATTTTCGTTAGAGTCTGTTTCGATGGAAGATGGACTTAAGGAAGCTTTAGCTCAAAATATTTGATATTATTTAAATAACTGTTAAATAATTAATCACAAATTGGGTATTGAGATTTGTTGGCCCCATTTTTATAAGATTTATGGAATTTTGCGCTTCGTGCTCGAATTTATCCTCAAGATAAAGCTTTCGCTTTGTCAACTGTAATTGGTGATATATTATTACAATCAGGATAAATTCGACTGCGATATCCATTATGTATATATTATATTATATATCTTAAGAGCTATATAGTTGCTATGGCAATTGAATATTACCAACATCTGACAACATCACATCATGTTACAGCTAAAGGAACAATGGAAAACTTTCGTTTTTTCGCTCAGTGTAGTACTCGTATATCTCATATGTCTTATATGTCTGCCAGTTTAATCCAATTAATCTTCGAACTTAAGTGATCGTAATCGTTTATGTTTTGTTTTTGTGTTCCTCTGGTAAATGCTTTTCCCATTCTATGTTGTTTTTATTAAGTTTGTAAATGTCCCGCAAGTGAAACATTTGCCTCATAACCAAACCTCATACACAATCCAAAGTTGTTGAGTTTTGTCATCGGTTTTGGGCATTGTAAAAGAACTTTAGACTTAACCTTTTGATTTTTAATAACAATGCTTTTCTTTTGATTATTATTTCTATTTAATTTCAGATAATCTGTGTTCATGCAATTACCCTATACCTAACACAAAACCGATTGCTCTTCACACCCAGCAATATATACGCCATTTTTATAATTTTTATTTTTAGTAAAAATAGGAAAAATAGGGATTCATTAATCCATTGCACGGCTTGATGATATCTAAAAGATAAGACTCGATAAGAAGAACAACAATCTATCTAGAAGATGATATCGTAGACAACAGGCTTTCGTTCTTTTACCATAATAACCTCTATTTGACAGCTAGTCTTATCTGAATGCAAACGCGTTGGAATGAGTACGCGCGAGTTGCCAGATAATCATTCGCGTACTCTTATTCGTTTCTGTTAATATTCTTTTTTCACCCGTTTTCCTTGCCTTGATTTATTTTAATTTGTAATTCAACTGAATATTTCCAAGTGTCTTATTGATAATTTCCCCAATGTTTGTCAGTATTGCTTTTTAAAGCCTGTATCTGTAACAGAAATTCGTAGATAGATAATTTATTCAATTGTCTTTCAACAATATATAAGAACAACTGACAAACTATTGGGACGATCCAGACTTTGAAACTTTCTTAAAACAATAGAAATCTTTTTGCGGAATCATTATTTGATTCATAAAAGGAAGAGTATTCCAGATGAGAGAATACATTTATTTTTTTTAAATAACTTTGTCAGTTAAATTTATCTTATAAGTATGTCACAGGCAGAAGGAAGCATTTCTAAACATATATAGATAATATATGTTAATACTAGCTTGTATTCTGGCCTGGTCCCGGCCCCATCTGCCGCTCTCCTTACGCAAGGTTATATTGTAGATATGTTTTTGAAATTAAGTTTGAAGTCCATTGACTTAGGAACCACAAATTGGATACAATATTTTAAATAGTTTCGTGGTGAGATGCTTGAAACCGAAATAAAAGCTTTAATCCGCATTTAGCATCAGAAAGGGGTGGATTTTGCGAAAGTGTGAAAAGGCTAAAATGAAATTTCTGGGGTGCAGGGTATCTCCTCGTCGTGCAGGCCCGAATTTAACTTAGCTTATAGCTTATTAAGGACAATAATGTAAAAAAAAAAAATCTGTGCACAGATTTTCCGACATTTGTTTCCACTTTGTGGATTTCCCAACTGTGAAAAGTTCTGATTTCTCGACTGCGACTCATCCATCAGTTTATTTGTCTGAAAGGACAAATAATAATTGATTCCAGTTTGCAGAAATATGTATATAAATAATCTTAACTCGGCGATATCTCGATCGAGAACATCTAAATATTTTGAGACAAAGTTGTTCCTACTGCAAGAATCTAAAAAGAAGGAAATAATATAAACATATATACGTACATATTCATGTTTACATATGTATGTATTTCTGTTGTGCTTAATGAATGAAGCTTTGGTTTTATGCATTTTTGCTTAACCTTGATTAATTTGCCAAATCATATTTACAAAAAGATGTCGCATTGCAAGTTGCTTATTGTTAGTTTTAAAAGTTTTGACGCTTAATTGAAATACTCTGCAGAAGCTCCAAATTTCGCACACAAACTTGTCTGACACTGTTTCTGTGTCAGGTAAGCTAACAATTCTTTCTCAGCGTTACGCTCAGGTGATATCAGTTTGCTCTTACACACACATGCACACATGCGTAAATATCCACATCAGTCGCGCACACATGCATACTTACACATAGTCATGCACACACGAGTGCTTCAGACTATAGTGCTCGACTTGTAGATGCCCCGCACCCAACTCCGAGCATACATTTTCAATTATATATTTACAAATTCCCACTGGCAGGTATTTTGAAGTTCGTGCCTAGTTGTTGGGTTTATTACTTTAATGTTAAGGGAATAAGAAACGGTATTCTGCGTATTATTCACGTTTATATGCCTTCTAAATGCACATGCACATGATACAGGGTATTAAAATCAGCGCACCAAACGAGCTCTTTGTCAAGAATAGACAGATACGGTGGAATTGAAAACTTGTGTGTGTGTGTGTGTATGTGCTGTTTGTGGGTGTGTGTGTGTGTGTGTTTAACTGTATTTGTGACTAACGAGTGTATATGTGTGCTGTGTGAATGTGTGTGTTTATTAGTGTTAGCGTGAGTGCGCGCGGAACACACTAATACCAGTGAGCGCACCCCACTAAAAAGCGATATTCGCTTGCGTGTGTGTTGTGTGTGTGTGTGTGTGTGTGTGTATTGAGGCCGACTTTTCTGTCTCTGACTCTGCTGTTGCTTGGCGTGAGTTGTTGCTGGTATTGATACTGGAAGTGCTCGTACTCCAGTTGCTGCTGTTACTGTGGCTAAAGTGGCTGTTGGCTGTTAGCTGCTGAGCTGTCGCTGTAGCTGTCACTGCCTGTTGACTGTTGGCTGGCGGCGTTTACGTCAGAGTTACAAACTGTGCTAAGAAATCTTATGAGTGTATACGCATACTTATAAACATGTAATATAAATACATGCAAGTGCAAGGCTCTAATTGCAGACCGCGTGTGATTGATAAGCTCGGCGATAAAGAAACTACAGTGCAAATTTCAATTTTTACAAATTGAAAAAAATAAGCGATGAAATGTTTGCTTTTTTCTTTTTCTTCCATAAGTGAAAATTATTTTATTGTCTGAGTGCAGCTTATTTACTTTACTATGTTCTTGTGCTCCAGTGTGTGGATGCAGAGATGTGAATGTGTGTGGAAGTTTATATATGTGCGCGTTAAAGCTTTTTCTCTCTCCGAACTGAACTGAGAAGTGTACGCTTGCATCAACTACAAGTAGATTTAAACGAATTTAACTGTTGCGCTTAAACTATTTACATAAAAATAATATGAAAATTACTAATGAATCATAAATAAAGAGAGTTTGTGTCCAACACTCGAGAGCGCAACCAAACGTGACGCCGAGAGACTGAACACCACGAGAGTATGAGAGAGCACGTCTTGGGTGAACTTGTGCAACAATCTTCTTGCTGAGTGCGAGCGCGAGCGTGAGCGTAAGCCGATGAAGTCTTTAGCAAATACAAAATACTTTTACAAACATAGGTACAAGCGAACTTAGCAAATACGTACACAAGCGATAGCAGTTACTTTTGCGCAGGTGTATGTGAGCGCAAGTGTAAGCGTATAGGTACGCTCTCACTCGCAATCTTGGTCGTGCACTCTCTCGCTCTCTTTGTCTCTCTCGCTGCCTAAATCGTGCTGCGTAGAAGTGTGTTTCAGTGAGTTTCTTTCAGTGTCACCAAAGTCAGATTAGCTAGCTCTTGACTATGAGTTGGCTTTTGTTGTAAATATTACGTTCGCTTTCGCACTCGCCATACGTCTGTACATACATATGTGTGTGTACATTCGTTTACATACAAACATACATATATAAACAATTGTGTACGAGTGTGTGTACGTGTGTGTGTTGGTGTGTGTGTGTATTCAACTTTTCGAGGTTTTAATGCGCAGCAACAGCAACGACTTGTTGAATTAAATATAAGTATGTTCAATGGCAAAGAGGCAACACGCCAGCAAACAAAGTGTCGTCCATTCAGTCTTCTACGGCGAAAGCAAGAAGAGCTTCAACACACGTTCACACACAAACATCGCCGATGTGCGAGGCACTTCAGATTCCATGTGCCAGCATGTCATGTGCAGACTGCTACAAAACTTGTGCGAGATCGACTCAAGAAAAGCGATTAACTAGCACCTAACTGTAAAGCTAATAGCTAATGGGAAAACTCAATACGAGTGGGCTGATCTTAAAAAGTTTCCAAAACAATATTTATTTGTTTTCCAAAATCTTTATTTACAATCTAATTTTAATGCATAGGGCTTAAACATTTTTAGTCAAGTGCCTCACTTAGCATTATTTAAGACGACATTTTCTCTCTCTTTCTCACGCTCTCTCCCTCTCTCTCTCCTGATAATAATTGCAGAATAACACTTGGTATTTTGTTATTCGTGCTTGATCTGGTTTTCTTATACAAAAAATATACACATTTATTTACATTTTTTTAACTGATAAGTTTACTCGCAAAAAGTGGTCGATCGACAAAAATAAGAGGACATATATGTGTATATTAATACATACGTGTGGTTGCACACACACACACACACACACACACGTATGTGCGTATATACATAGAGAAGAAAAATATATAAATAATTCCCTTAACGAAACTTACAGTGCACGATCGCAAAGTCTGACTAAACTAATATAATAAAACCAAAAAAAAAAAAAAAAACTAGCTAACCAGAGGCCAGTGCGAGTACAAAACAAAACAAGAAGTGAAACAAAACAAAATAGATGGATCGTGGTATGGATCCTGAACCATCGAACAGAATGGAGACTTCGGCGACGACGACGCCGACGCCGACGCCGTCGGACTTAAACAGAGCGGATGCGTCCCGCAAAAGCGTTCGCCTCTATGCGGCACGCAAGGGACTGGCGCCGGCTCCGCCCAAATTGGCGCTGGCCACCAGCAACAACAATATCAATAGTAAAAATAAGAACAACAATAGTGATAGCGAAAACTTGCCCGATTACAGTGCACAGCTTGCCGGTGGTACGGCAACTGCAAAGGAACTCGATCTCAGCGATGCACAGCATGTGGACTATGATGCACTCGTAGAACTGCGCAGGCCGGGTGATATAGCTGTTGCCCCGCCACGGGTCGCAGTCTCGGCGATTCCTGCTTTTCAATTGCCCAACAAGAGCCGGCAAAAGGCTGCGCCGCGAGTGCAGATGTCCGCGGAAGATGATGTGGGCGTGGCTTTTGCACTGGGCTCCATCGAGCAGCACATTCTGAATGTCGAGGAGAGTTTTAAGCAGCAGCAACTCAGTGAAAATGAGCAGCAGCAGCAGCAGCAGCAACAGTCCCAGTCTTCCATGGATGTCATGAAAATGGATACAATGCGCAAACAGAGCAAACGTTACGGCGAGACAGAAAACCTGCTCCGGCCGGGCATCAGCGACATGTCCTCCGAGAACGACTTTCAGTACCTGGGCGGGCGGCGTTCCCAGCTGGACGATAGCAATGAGCAAATGCTAACGGAATTTCAAAGAGGCAGCGATGGACGCAACTCAATTGGCGCCTACTCAAAGAACTCAGCTGCTGCGGCCGGCGGCCCCTCGGGGGCGCTCAAGGCTAAGCTTGCCCGGACTGCCTCAGACACGAAGAATACGGATACGGTGCTGGCCATGCGCGCCACTTTGAAACAGAAGCAGCAGCATCACGATGTCAAGCAGCAGCAGGCTGAGGGCAGATGGCGACCGACGACGACGACAGCTCCGACGCCAGCAGCAAGAACCACAGAGAGCCGGGGCAACAGTAGTTCCAGCGTTGTGGACGGAGGGTCCGCTTCGAAGCTGACTGCCACCACGATATCGGCATCAAAGCGACGCGAGGAGAATCTACGCCAGTTCGTAGCGCTGATGGCTCAAAAGTCCTCGCAGCCGCATCGACATGCAGGGGCTGCTGCAGCAACTGGATCTAGCGCCGGGTCTCATGCGACATCCGGTGGCAGCACGAGCGCATCAAAGCGGCGCTCCGAGCGTCCCATTGTGGCGCCCATACCGCCCTACAACTCAAGTCGTCCCCCTGTCGAGCCAAGGTCCGCAGCATCGGGGCCCGGACACCAACGAGCTGCTCCCAACGCGGCTGTGACACGTACCAATGTATACAGCAACAATGTTGCTCAGGTAAACCAAACAAAGCACAGTCAAGATACAGAAAAAAAATATAAATTCATGTTCAGATATAATACTTGCGGCTACTTTAATAATTCACGGGCGGGAACTAGGTCATAAATTGATTGAACACGTTGAAATTGACTTTATTTTTAATCTGTTGTTATTTGGCGGCTTTTTGCAGGGATCCCCGAATCTGCAGATGCGCAGCAGTGCTCCGATGCGATGGCGCGCCACTGAGGAGCATATCGGCAAATACAAGCTCATCAAGACGATCGGAAAGGGAAACTTTGCCAAAGTAAAACTGGCAAAGCATCTACCCACTGGCAAGGAAGTAGCAATAAAGATAATTGACAAAACCCAATTGAATCCTGGGTCACTTCAGAAACTATTTAGAGAGGTTAGCTGCATTTATTTTTGAATATTTACATTATGCTAATGTTCCTCCTCCTTCTTCTGTGTGTTATAGGTTAGGATAATGAAAATGCTTGATCACCCCAACATAGTTAAACTTTTTCAAGTTATCGAAACGGAAAAGACGTTGTATCTCATCATGGAATATGCATCGGGGGGTGAGGTCTTCGACTATTTGGTACTACACGGACGCATGAAAGAGAAGGAGGCGCGGGTCAAATTTCGTCAAATTGTATCGGCTGTGCAATACTGTCATCAGAAGAGAATCATACACAGGTCTATATCAATCTATATCTATATCAATCTTAATTAACGATCGATATCACTTGCCGTTTTGACAAATTCGTGAATCAATATAATTTATTTCACCTAAATTTTCAATATCCATGTAATAGTTGAATAGAGTATTTAAAGTTCCTTTTAAAGGGTTCATCATGTGCAGCATTAAGTTAATGCATCTGAGATCCCTTCAAAATATTATATTTAACGACTTGGCTTCCCGCACAGGGAAACTGTTTTAATTGATCTTGATTATTTGTATTTCAACATTTCTTTTATTTTCTTCTTTTATAAACAGGGACTTAAAAGCTGAAAACTTATTACTAGACAGCGAGTTGAATATTAAAATAGCTGATTTTGGTTTTTCGAACGAGTTTACGCCTGGCTCAAAGTTAGATACCTTCTGCGGCAGCCCACCCTACGCAGCACCCGAGCTCTTCCAGGGCAAAAAATACGATGGACCCGAAGTGGATGTCTGGTCGCTGGGTGTTATTTTGTATACGTTAGTGAGCGGATCCCTGCCTTTCGACGGTTCCACTTTAAGGGAGCTACGTGAACGTGTACTCAGAGGCAAATATAGGTATTTAAAATCCCAGTTGGTTATTGATTATCTTTAATAATCTTCTGTGTCTTGGAACAGAATCCCATTCTATATGTCGACTGATTGCGAAAATTTGCTGCGCAAGTTTCTAGTACTGAATCCTGCAAAACGTGCTAGTCTTGAAACAATCATGGGTGACAAGTGGATGAATATGGGGTTTGAGGACGACGAGCTCAAGCCCTATATAGAGCCAAAACAAGATTTAGCCGATCCCAAGCGGATAGGTAAGACGGGTACTGTATACGAAATTCATTACTAATATTATTAACGAATTGTGTGTCAAGTTTTGCCTGTTAATTATCTGTATTTTATGCAATGTGCTATTTTAATTTTAATTAAAAAACAAATCTTTTTGTATTATTTACATATACAGTAGAAATATCCAAAAGAGCTCTACAAACCATTCGATTCCCTTATAATTTTCCTAGTTGCTTACATACATAAATACGTACATATTTATTTAAAAATTCTATACAGCTGCGGGGGTACAAACCGGAGTTAAAGACTCAGCATCGATCCGACGCAGTGCTTTTGACTTGATGTTAATGCTGATCTTTTTAATTGGCGAATGGAAAGTGCCACACCAAAATGTATGCAATCCCTTGGAGGAGAATCGTATTCTTTTTGGAATGGCAATCTTTAATATATGCTCTTTGTTTTCTTTCTCACCTTGTGTCTCTCTTACTTTTTTTTATTTTGTTTCCAATTTGAATGCTTCGTCGAATCGTTACATAACAGATCAACCGGGAGAAGAAATAAAATGATATATAGGTTTGCTAGCAAAAAGAGGAAAGCAAATTCAATGCAAATAAAAATTCTATAAGATTTGTATTTTAATAACAAACATTTGGGTTATTTTATCAGAAAGTTTACCACACATATCTTTGCACATACATATCTCCGGTTTGTGTCCTTCAAATTCGATACAATAATAATTGTTATGTACTTATGTATGTTGTTTCAATATATATATATATATATATATATATGTTTTGCTGTTTATCCAATAAATGCATGACAGTATTGTACATTTTGATATTATAAAGTAAATAAGAAGTCGCTAACTCTTCTAATTTGACGGCTTATGGAACACACACACACAATTCTGGCAGTGCTCGAGCAATTTGCGAGAACTGTCAACCAAAATATAATGTCAATGTAATGAATTTGCATGTAATGTATACTTAACAACAACTATCTAATTTGTAAAGTTTAATCTTTTCGAAAATGTTTACTCATGCCTGTGATTATATTTTGTCAATGCGCAGAAGCTCTAGTCGCGATGGGCTACAATCGACAAGAAATCGAAGCGTCGCTGGCTCAGGTGCGATATGACGACGTGTTCGCCACATATTTGTTGCTGGGCCGCAAGAGCACTGATGTAAGTTGGACGCGGGCAGCGTATGGCTTGAATTCATGGTGACTTCCTCTTTATTTAGCCTGAAAGTGACGGGTCGCGATCCGGATCATCGCTTTCGCTGCGCAACATTTCTGGTAACGAGGCTGGCGTCAATGCTGGCAATGCGGTTGTGCAAAGTCCCACGCATCGTGGCGTTCACAGAAGTATATCGGCGTCGAGTACCAAGCCCAGTCGTCGGGCTTCGTCCGGTGCGGAAACGTTACGTAAGTACCAATGCCGGCCTCAAAATATACGGATAACAATATCTCGTATCATTTCCTTGCAGGTGTTGGACCCCCAAACGCCACTACGACCGTGACAGCTGCTGCAATTGGCGTGGCACCTGTCAACCCGAGCAATAACTATAATGCTGTAGGATCAGCCGCCGATCGTGCATCAGTGTAAGTTCCATGCCTAAAGCAGGCAGCAAAACATATGCGACCCGATATTTGTTGTACTGTCGAAAAGATTTTTGCAGTCGAGCTGTCCTTAATCAATTTTACTTGCTTAGGTATTATCTACTTCTAAAAGTTTGAGACTTTATGTCAAGAATAAATCAATAAACCGATCGATCTCTGTTTTAAGGATATATGCGATCTGTTCTCGTAGACCTCTTCCTCAAAATAGAAAATTGGCTCGAAGCGTGAGACTTGATTGTAACACCACAAAGCTGTCGACACTGCAACACATTTCTATATTTCATTGTTCCTTTTGTTAACCTGTTTATTAATAACTTCATTTGCAGTGGTAGCAATTTTAAACGTCAGAATACGATTGACTCAGCAACAATTAAGGAGAATACGGCAAGACTGGCCGCACAGAATCAGAGGCCAGCGTCAGCCACACAGAAGATGCTCACCAC